GAAGACGTTTCCGTGGTCACGTGGCCGACATGACTAAACACCAAGGCGCACGGAACGCTGTTACCTTCCCACCGAAGTGGTACCTATTTATCTACTTGCAATTTCTTGCTTCCCAACTGCTAGGTTGGCAGGAGCTGGAACTAGAGACGGGGGCTCACTCCGTCATGTGGCACACTCGGGTCTCGAACTGCTGAACTACCGACCTTCCACAGCCTGCAGTTCAGCATCTTAACCACTTGAGCCACCACAGCTCCTGGGGTCACCATAGGCACACAAATGACATCCCATTCAGCCTGTATTAAAGGGACAGGAGTTGGGTTGCTTTTCTTCCCAGGCTATCAGCAACCCTACTGCCTAGGTAAACATTACCTATAAAGGCTGTAACATCCCTACAAGGAATCTGAATCGCTCAGACGTAAAATTCAGTGAAAACCTCTTTCTTTATTTTTTTTGGGTACTTTGTAGAAGTGTTGTAGAACTTTGGGTAAGAGTTCTGGGTAAGAATGACAGAACGATAGCATATCCCATTGTCTTAACACCTGAACTGTGTTAGTTCGAGCCCCACGCTGGTGTGAGCAGCCAGCCTGTTGTCCCTACGGGGAAGGGGAAGGTATAAACTTAATAATAAATAAATAAAACCCGCAAGGCTCTAATCTTATTATTATTATTATATTAGACAGAGTAAAATGCCATATATTAAGAGGAGGAGGAAGAGGAGAGTGGATTTATACCCCACCCTTCACTACCTGAAGGAGAGCGGCTTACGGTCTCATTTCCCTTCCCCTCCCCACAACAGACACCCTGTGAGGCTGGGAGAGCTCTCCCAAGAACTGCTCATGAGAGAACAGCTCTGAAAGAACTCTGTGCTGATAAGACTTTGGTCCCAGATGAATTGTTCATATGACCGAAAGCATTCTGTAGACGGGATTGTAAGCAGAATTCTGTTTTGGGGGAGGAAAACCCAGTCTAAAACAAAAGCCTATTACAAATGATGTGGGACTAAGAAGGTCGTCTATATAATGTGGTACCAGCCATGAGCAGAAAGCGCTTCTGGGACACAGCAGACCTTTTTTGGGGGCAGGAGCCCCTTGAGCCCATTCCGTTTATACCAGCACACAAAGATCAGTGTAGCCCACAGTACAGCTCCTCTCTGTACCGGCATTACTATGGTATAGCCTGTGATACGTCCACACACATTGTGAGGGCACAGGAGCTTTGGGGTAAGGGGCCGGTACGGTACCCCCCTCCAGCAATGCCGTTGTTATGCCACATGTTCCCCCAAGAGCACTACGGTCGGGGCCCCAAAATCTATTGGTTATACCGGGCCCCAAGGATGTAAAACTGGCAGGGACCAGGGCCAGGGCTTTTTCGGTGGCGGCTCCTACCTGGAGGAACAAGCTTCCGGGAGAGATCCGGGCCCTGCGGGACCTTATGCAGTTCCGCAGGGCCTGCGAGACGGAGCTCTGCCGCCGCGCCTTTGAATAAGAGCCCCCCCCCCACTATACCACCACCGTCAAGGTATCTTAAAGGATGCACAGACCAGGCCCTGATGAAGATCCTGGAATATGTAAAGAAGATCTGATAAGCCGTCGCCATTCATGGGAGTACCCCCTGGAACTGTGTTGATTCCATCTTGGATTATGACATCAGTGTTGTTTTTAAGTGTTAGTTGTTTTTATTATGTTTTAGATGTTTATTTATGGCACGGCCAATTACCTTGCACTTGTGAGCCGCCCTGAGCCCATTGGGGAGGGCGGGATACAAATGAGGAAAATAAATAAATAAATAAATAAAAAATTGACAGGCCTCAGTCCAGACAGTGGAGGAGGCTGAAGGTACCTGAGACCTCCTCCTGGTCTTACTTGGCTGTTGGCTGCGAGAGAGCCCAAGTATCGCATCAGCTTGCATCGGTGCTCTTAAATGGGGGCATTGCTGCTGATAACACCCACTGTCTCTTGTGAGGGTTGCCTCCTTTGCAAGATGTCTTGAGAAGGAGGGGCTGTCCTCCTGGACCTTGCTGGACAAAGAGGAGGAGGAGGAGATTGGATTTATACCCCGCCCTTCACTCAGAGTCTCAGAGCAGCTTACAAACTCCTTTTCCTTCCCCTCCCCCACAACAGGCACCCTGTGAGGTAGGTGGGGCTGAGAGAGCTCTTTCGAGAACTGCTCTTGAGAGAACTGTGACTGACCCAAGGTCACCCAGCTGTCTGCATGTGGAGGAGTGGGGTGCACATTCCAGCTTTTAAACTTAGGATATTCTCTACCCTTAAACATCTCTCCCTTCCATAGAGATCAGGAGGGAGGAATGATAGAGTGTCCCTTTTTGATGGCCATGTCCCCCTCACTTCCTGATAGCCCTGGAGTGGGAGGGTGGGCTCCAAACCAGGTGATCCCCTGCCCCCACCTGAGGACTAGTGGCAACCCTCACACCACCTGTCTACAAGAGATTGATGATGGAGGAGGAGGAGGAGAAGAGATTGGATTTACACCCCGCCCTTCACTCAGAGTCTCAGAGCGGCTTACAATCTCCTTTCCCTTCCCCTCCCCACAACAGACACCCTGTGAGGTAGGTGGGGGTGAGAGAGCTCTGAGAGAAACTGCTCTTGAGAGAACAGCTCTGAGAAAACATGTGACTTACCCAAGGTCAAACCAGCAGCTGCATGTGAAGGAATGAGTGTAATGGCAGCTAAGGTTGCCTCGCATTGAGATGGTTCCTTAAATGCTAATTCTGACCCCTGCAGGCAACCACCAAGTCATATGACAATCATTGTGTCCAGAAACTGGACTCCCCACACACACCTTTACTAAGAGATTAATCACATGCAACTGTTTCCTTTCTAGCTTTACCTTTGGAATATACTGTTGGGGAACCAATAAGTGGGAAAGAACAAAACCCCTTTGAGTAGAAAGCTATGAAACTGTAGACTGAAGATTCATCTGATTCAAACATACGAGGGGAAAATTTGCCCTGGTTCATGCTGCCCGGTGACCAAGCACAAATTCTAACTGAGCACCAATCAAGTGCACCGAGATGTCTTGCAATTGCTGAATACAGAGGACCTGATTCTAGAAGACAAACAGCACGAATGAGGTTGTGCGTGTACCTGGACATATTCTTATTCCTGTACACTCCATTTTGCAGATAAAGGACCGATTCACACCTTAAAGGCAGTCTGCGTAGGACCTGGGAGACTATGGACTGAAACCCCACTCTGCCACAGAGAAGCCTGCTTGGTGGTCTTGGGCCCAGCATATTCTTGGCATCGTGGGAATAAACGTCCCCGTGTTGTTTTTTTTAACAAGATGGTTCTGCCACCACATACTCTGAAAACTATCACTGGAAGTTTTCTTTTTGCCCTTCCGTCTGTGAAATGTTTTAAAGCCATCTACCCGCCCACCCCCCAAATCCACAAGAGAATTAGCAACATTCCAGCATGCCTCGGTTGTCAGCAAGTGGTCTTTTCAGCCCAGGTACCGGATGATGATTGATGAAGCTGTCGGACTTACGGCAGTGGATGTAACAGCCTGGCAGAAGTTCAGTGTTACTGAAAGAAATCACGAATACTTACTCCGTCTCCCCTGCTCGCTTTAATCACATTATCAACAGGCTACCACAGGATGGAGCCTTGACACCAGGCCATACATTCACACAGGCGGCCATCGTTAGCCTCTTTGTAAGACAGAAAATGAGCTGTTTTGTTTTACCTGTTCCTATTTTACACACCGCCCGGCTGTTAAAGTAACACTTGATTTCCCTGTCCCCAATTTAGCTCCCTCCAACTTTCATCCTGTCATTGACGCGCCTTTTCTTTTTTCTTCGTTGAAGGGCGACTAACAAAGGCTAACCGAGAAGCCTGCCATCCATCATGTTAATATTTAATACAAGTTATTATACTGAAGACCGGAGCTGGCCGTACCCCATAATACACTCTCTTTGCAAGACCACAAATTAATACACAAAGGCCGTTGTCTGAAACAAAACACTTGGATTTGCAGTGTTCATGGAAGACGGCGGTTTCTCCCTCCTAACAAGGCTGAGTTGACTCCCGCAGATTTCAGGCGGACTCAACGTGGCGGACGCTTCTTGCATGTTGAACTATCAGATGGACCAACACATATGATAAAAAGAACTGATTTTTTTAAAAAAATACTTTGTTCTTTACTGAACACCAACAAGTGGTGACAGAAATACTGTTTCTTCCCAAAAAAAACCCATCTGGCTCTCTCGGTAATCAAAATAAACAAAACTACTACAGCAATGCAAGAGACAATGGTAATAATATTTAAACTAACTCCTAAGTGTGTACAAAATTACAAAATACAATATACGATAACACTGTTTCTTTGTCTCTAACAGATGAGATGAGATGACATGGATGAAAATCTCCGGAGTTGGAATTTCGTTTTGTGGAGACTTCTTCCTACATCAAAAATTCATAAATTCGGGCAAATCATCAACCACAGGACTGATTTGCCCGAATTTGCACTATGGTCTGATGAATATCTGAAATGAATACTACAAATGCTTTTTGAATGGAGAGCCAACTTGGAAAGTTTGCGACTTCTGGAGAATATCACAATTCGCTTCACCCAACAAGCCTGTTTACCACGTCTTCTTGCAAAAGCGTCGTCTTCTCTCCCAAGCCAAATTCATGCCCGTCCCTCTTCAGTCTGCTGCTCTTGCAATACAGATCTCATTATAATGACTGCATGGAAAATCAGATATACTGGAAAGACGGATAATTCAAGGGGGTACAATCCAACGCAGCCTGAAAGCATAAACAGCATAAGTACCAACCCAAGACTATTTACTTCCACCAGTCGTTGGCACCTGGAGGTCTGTACGGTTCAATTTTCACAATTCGCTTCACCCAACAAGCCTGTTTACCACGTCTTCTTGCAAAAGCGTCGTCTTCTCTCCCAAGCCAAATCCATGCCCGTCTCCCTTCAGTCTGTGCTCTCGCAATACATATATCATTATAATGACTGCATGAAAAATCAGATATACTGGAAAGATGGATAATTCAAGGGGGTACAATCCAACTAACCTCGTTTGCTAGGGCAGAACACTGGTAGTGCACACTCAAGTTTTTTAAAAGCGACACTGATTTTTATTTTACCGTTCTTGCTATGGCTGCCGTGTCGCCCGAACGGAGATACTGTGTTGGCAATTCTGTGACGGAGGATGCTGGAACCAGCCGAGCGATGATGCTGCAAAAGAGGAACAGTCCTGCTGCAAAACAAGAACACTCAGAGAGTGCGCTTGGTCAGGTCCTTCTCCATGATGACGTACTGCTCTTTAAGGCGCTCCATAGCTTTGGCATGCTCTTCATCCACAACCGCTTTCTGGCTGTGCTGTTCCTTCAGAAATTCCTCCCACTGGGCTATCCGTTGCTTTTCGCCAGCCGCTAGCGTCTGGGTCTGCAGCTGACAAGAGAAAAGGAAGCCAGGTCACTTCTACACAGTTACAGAATGAAGAATTTGCAGTGGATAATCCTCCCCCCCCCCCCGGCCGAACAAAAGAAAAGGAAACCAGATTTCACTTCAGCAGTGATTCTCAAACTTTATCGTAATGGCACTTCCTTAGGTCAGGAGAACCAACTTCTAAAGGCGTATTTGCCCCAGAGTGCCTCTGTTCCAAAGGGGCCACGGCGGCTCAGCGGTTAAGATGCTGAGCTGCAGACCTGAAGGTCTGTAGTTTGGCAGTTCGAGACCCGATGTCAGAAGCGGACCCTTGCCTCAATCAGTGTGGATCACTGTACTTGTAATTATGGCTCTCTGATGTACATAGCTTTGCTGGATTCTAGTATAGTGTCATAGATGCAACGAACATGAAATTGAGCAAACTTCAGAGGACAGCGGAAGACCGAAAGGCCTGGCGTGATCTGGTCCATGGGGTCGCGAAGAGTCGGACTCGACTGTGCGACTGAACAACAACAACAAGTATAGTTGCATCTGCAATTTCCTCCCTGCTTGTTCCCATGTAGCACCTGCTGGCAATGTATCAATCTATCTTCAAGGATCCTCCTCTGACATTCCTGAGGTGAGGAGTAATTGAGACATGTCTGTGTGAATGTAGATTAGCTGCGCTTTGTGGCACTATGTAAGGGCACCTCCTCCATAGGCCGGCGGGAGCTTTCGCTTTTCAAACTTCTCACGGCCTTCGAGAAAGTCTCTAATGACAAACGTTCTCACCAACCTAATTGTATTGTATTACTCTACCTAATTAATATGTAATGCAAATGTATGTATGAAGGCTGGACCAGAGGTCCCGTAGTTCCTAACTTTGTAATGCTTTTCAGTTCTGGCAAAGAGTTTCAACCTGAAAGCAACTTTCTTGACTTTCTAACAAAGTCTGCGCAAAGGACTTATTGCGTCTGAGAGTTACTGGGTGAGCTGACACCCAAGTGCTACGTGACGGAGTGAGCTCCCGTCTCTGGCCCCAGCTCCTGCCAACCTAGCAGTTCGAAAGCAAGAAATGGCAAGTAGATAAATAGGTACCACTTCGGTGGGAAGGTAACAGCATTCCGTGCACCTCGGCGTCTAGTCATGCCAGCCACATGACTATGGAAACGTCTTCGGACAGCGCTGGCTCTTCGGCTTGGAAACAGAGATAAGCACCGCCCCCTAGAGTCGGACTCGACTAACTTTTGAGCAAGGGGGACCTTTACCTCTTTACTTCCACATTCCTTTCAGTCTTCACCTACTGCATAGAAGCTACACAATAGAAGACACACAAGAAACAAATTGTAGCCATTCAAAAGGCAGGAGTTCTTCACAGGCAGGGGTGACAGTTTTCAGCTTGAAAATACAAAGAGAAGGTGACAAAAGAAGACAGAAGTCAAAATGTTATGGGATATTGTGTAACTTCTGTTTCGGGTAAAGGTAAAGGTTCCCTTGCTTGAAAGCCAGTCGAGTGCGACTCTAGGGTTGCGGTGCTCGTCTCCGTTTCAAAGCCGAAGAGCCAGTGCTGTCCGAAGACGTTTCCGTCGTCATGTGGCTGGCATGACTAAACACCAAGGCGCACGGAACGCTGTTACCTTCCCACCAAAGTGGTACCTATTTATCTACTTGCAATGTCTTGCTTTCAAACTGCTAGGTTGGCAGGAGCTAGAACTAGAGACGGGAGCTCATTCCGTCATGCGGCACACTCGGGTCTGGAACTGCTGAACTACCGACCTTCCACAGCCTGCAGTTCAGCGTCTTAACCACTTGAGCCACCGCAGCTCCTAACTTCTGTTTAGGGACACGTATATATTCCATATGCTACTGCTTGAAACCAGAGTCTCAGGCACCCACTGTAAAGTCAATTCGGTTAGAGATGGCCTCAGCACAAAGCTTTGAAACTTCGGCGTCATGAAGACCATGGCAAGAAATTAGTACCTCTCTAGTGCACAAGCTGTGGTGGCTCAAGTGGTTAAGACGCTGAACTGCAGGCTGTGGAAGGTCAGTAGTTCAGCAGTTCGAGACCCGGGTGCTGCATGACGGAGTGAGCTCCCATCTCTAGTTCCAGCTCCTGCCAACCTAGTAGTTCGAAAGCAAGAAATTGCAAGTAGATAAACAGGTACCACTTCGGTGGGAAGGTAACAGCATTCCGTGCGCCTTGGTGTTTAGTCCTGCCGGCCACATGGCTACGGGAACGTCTTCGGACAGCGCTGGCTCTTCGGCTTTGAAACGGAGATGAGCGCTGCAACCCTAGAGTCGGATTCAACTGGCTTTCAAGCAAGGGAACCTTTACCTTTAGTGCACAAGCAGTTTTCCAGTGACAAAACTTAGAAATCAGTCGCCATATTTAAAATACAGGAGAGTCAAAGAAAAAGTTTCCATATACAAGAAAAGTGGGATCTGGTAACTCTATTAGATTGGACATTGTAAAAGACCCACTAGTGGCAGCTTCATTTAGCTCCTTCCTAAAGCTTGTTGGTATTACTGCAGAGGGAGGCGTGCCTCCAAAATTTTATTTACTGATGGGTTCTGCAGGAACATATGATGGAGAAGGAGGAGGAGATTGGATTTATACCCCGCCCCTCACTATCCAAAGGAGTTTCAGAGCGGCTTACAAACTCCATTCCCTTCCCCTCCCCACAACAGACACCTTGTGAGGTAGGTGGGGCTGAGAGAGCTCTTGAAAGAAACAGCTCTTTTTCAAGGACAGCTCTGACAGAACTATGGCTTGCCCAAGGTCATCCAGCCAGGTGCAAGTGGAGGAGTGGGGAATAGAACCCGGTTCTCCCAGATTAGAGTCCGCTCACTTAACCACTACACCAAACTGGCTCTCTACACCAAACTAGCAGAGTCTGTGAATCTCAAAGCTCATTCACGTTGCCACACAGGAACACACCTTTACCTGTGGGGTCCCCCAAGGCAAACTAGAGGCTTCTACTGTTTGTATGTCAAGGCTGAAAAGAGATCAGATCAGTACGCTGCTTACATTCACAATTCAATAAATTGCTTGCAGGCAGAAATCTCGCATCAGCCCCAGAGCACTGCCCTACAACCAGTGTTCCCTCTAAGCTGAGTCAGTGTGAGCTAGCTCACAGTTTTTTACCCTCCGGCTCACACATTTTTTGTCTTCGCTCAGGAAGGAGGGCTCCAGAGCAAACTAATTCATGCAGCAGCCAAATCGTTCGCTCACAACTTTAATGCCAGTAGCTCACAAAGTAGAATTTTTGCTCACAAGACTCCAGAGCTTAGAGGGAGCACTTCCTACAACCCTCTGATCCCTTCTCAAAGTTGTTACTTGTCTCGCTTGTGTGATGCACTCACCATACTATCCTAACATCGTGCAGAGATTCACAGCATAACACTTGCTAGAGATTTTTTAAAAACCTTATTTTCTATAGCAAAATCATCTACAGGCAAAAGGGGGGGAGAAAGCATACTTAGGCTGTGGTCACACTGGCAGCTTGGCATGGCACGGAGGCGTTACACTTTGCAGCGGAATAAGCAGGGCTATTTTTGAGCAGGAACGCACAGGAACGGAGCTCCGGCTGGCTTCAGAGTTGGCCACGCCCACTACAGCTAAAACCTCTGTGTGCCTGGCTACAGAGGGAAGGGGAGCCCGGGCAAGCCAGGGGAAGGCAGTTTAAATTGCCTTCCCTTCCCTCCAAGGGCTGGCGTGCTCCCGCGGCCCCCCCACCCCCGGGGGGTTGAAGGTCAAAGAAGACGGGGACGGCAAAGGATGAGATGGTTAGACAGTGTCATCGATGCAACGAACATGAAGTTGAGCCTACTTCAGAGGACGGCAGAAGACCGGAAGGCCTGGAGAGAGCTCGTCCATGGGGTCGCGAAGAGTCGGACTCGACTGTGCGACTGAACAACAACAACAAATAGCCAAAAGGGGTGATCAGACAGTACCTCTTCTGGCGGCCTGTCTGTGCCCGTGTCCTGTGGTCGAGCATCCAGACATTAGATGCATGGCAACCATGGAGCACGGTGTCCCATGGTTTTTTTAAAAAAAATCTGGTTGCACATGTGCAAATGCACTTATGCGCACAGTCAGGTGGACGAGAGATTAAAAATGCCATGGCTTCACTTCACTTCTGTAGTAGAGATGGGACTATAAAGATTTCCCCCTTTTTCGATTATTCATATTTCTCTGGTTTTTATAGATTTATTCTTAAGTAATATTTTATTAGGATGTTAGAAAGGCCTGTTATATAGAAGGCTTTCCTCTTGTAGGTCTGATATTGTTAGCAGACAACATAATAGGTACAAAGTTCATGATTCTGTAGTACCTAGGGCAAAACCTTTCAATGTCTGGGTCAGATAAGATTTTAGTCTCGTATCAGTAATGAATACTTTTGTTTGGGATATGAAGAATCCTTGCCCATTATCATTTAGGTTAGGTTAAGTAAACACTTAGTTTGACGTAGATATATGTTTCTTTATATCTGGCCAATCAGAGGATTATTACTCAAATTGCCACTGTCTTTTGTAACCAATTGTGCTTTTTGAATATTGTTTTCTTGATGATGTCAGTCCATGTATAAAATATCATGTATTTCCTGAATATGTTCAACAAGAAAATGAAGAAGAAAAAGAAGTTGTCAATTTTTGATTAGTTATTTGGTCCAATTGTTTTTCCTGTTAATTGAAGCATATTCCCTAAATATGCTGAGAAGAAAGTAGTCAATTTTGGATGGACTATTTGGTCCAACTGTTTTCTTGTTAACTGAAATAAAACATAGATCTTCCTCCTCATTTGACTTCATTTTTGACATGGAATCTAATATGTACAACACTTCTGGCTTCCATTCGCCACAACACCATTCACACATCTGGAAAAGTTGAGTGGGAACTCAAGCATCCGTTTATACCGGACTTTCCCGGGTGCCTGATTATTCCAGATCCACAGTGGGGCAACGCAGGGTGCTGACGAATGCCATATGGGAGGCAGATGTTCTCGTCTGGTCATGCTCTTTTAATCCACACAGGTAACACTACTATTTCACAACAAATGACCTGTGTGACTGCAGCCACGTGTGCAGGAAAAGGAGACAGGAGGAAAAGGGCAAATACTGCAAAGGTGTGCCATGTTAAACTCAAGATCACACAAAAGAGCCCAAGGAGAGCTTGGAAGATAAACACAGCCTTAGTTACTTTACAAATAAGTTACATGAAACTTTACCTGTTTTTCTTCCTGCTCTCTCTGCTGGAGTCTGCCGGTTATCTCATTGCTGGCCTGTACTGGGATACAGAGACAACAAATGTTTCATTGGCTATTTTCGCTCCCGAAGCGCAGTGCCTTAGCACCTTGTCCTCAGTAACTGATTCACTTAACGAAATTTGTACCTTGCCTTTATGCACCATCAGGGCCAGCACTGGAATTAGTCCAGTGCAGGCCTTTAGTAAAATGATGGGCTGGGCTCTGTGAATGACATAAAAAAAATCTGTACCAATGTAATCCAAATTTTGCATCAAGAAAAATGGAATCCTGTAATCTGCATAAATCAGATCTATTCCAGTATTTCACGTAGGCACATTTTGCATACTGCTCTGCTTCTTTATTCCGGCATCCAACCTCTTCTAATTTTAAACTTTATACCCTCCTTCCCTCATGTGTCTTGTTTAAGTCTGAAGGCAAGGCCCGTGTCTTCTTTTTATTGCTGTATTGTGCCTGCCACCTGCAGTGTTGTATGCTGAATGCATACAGGGTCCTTAGTCAGGTTACGCAACACAGGTCTTCATGAGAATATAACTGTTTATTGGTAGATCCAGTACTAGAGACACGTGTACAGCTTGTGTCAGGAATGGCCACCAATACTAGGGCTTCTGACTTATACTAGAATCAAACATCCCCCTGGTAAACATGAGCCAATGGATATATCTCGCGCAAACAGACAAAGCAAGCAGGCAAACCAAAAAGCCGTTAACTTTCCCATCCGAGTAAAACTGCAGCTGGAGCATCTACAAGGTATAAGATAGCAAACAGCTGGTGAGCCAGGGAGAGCTGAGACAGAAAATGGGAGGGCACCCCTCCACATTCCAGACCTATGACAGGGCTACCTGACATGGAGAGACATTTTTGTCCAAAGCCGAATAAAAATATACCCACAAAAACAACACATTCCAATTAATAAGCAAGTGTGTATGCACAGCTGGAGTCATCTTTGTTGTTTTTATGAGAACCTCTCCTGCTGCTGAAAAGGCAAGCTGATTTTTAAAATTCAAGAACGGCCGACCTCCCAGGAAAGCTCAGGCCGTAAGAGTCCTCCACTCATAACCCTCCATTCCCTTCCCTTGTTGGCTATGAATGATTCTAAAACTGGGTATTCGACATACAAACACCACTATGTGAATAATTAAACATTATGGGAAGGGTCTGTTACTAATCCAGGGTACTGCATACCACTGAGGAGCAATGCTCCCTCTAAGCTGTGGAGTCTTGTGAGCAAAAATTCTACTTTGTGAGCTACTGGCATTAAAGCGAGCAATTTGGCTACTGCATACACTAGTTTGATCTGGAGCCGTCCTTCCTGAGCTAAGACAAAAATAAGTGAGTGTCATGGGCATGGATGAGGATGAGTGGACAGAGCCTGCAGAGACCACAGCTGGCCCCTCTGAAGCAGCAGAGGAATATAGCTGGCAAGGGCTTGTAAGAGCAGTCTTCACACCTGGCCCAGAGAAGAAGGAAGAACTGCAAGCTGAAAGTCCTCCTGACTCACCCCCACGTGTGACTCGTTTAAGGGAGCGACTGCAACAAAACTTAGCAAGCAGGCGAAGAGAGGCCAGGCTACAAGGGAGACGCTCAGCCAGCCCAGATTTCTAACAGGAGCCTGGCTGGTCGTGCAGCTGGCTAATTGGTAGCAGCATATAACTCCACACTCCGGGCAGTACCCTTCGTGGAAGCAACAAGTCAACTTCGTGCTGCTTGCATCCACTCCGGCTTGGCTCTTGCACCTAGACCTTTGGCTTTGGACATGGCTGTGTTTCTGGCTCCTGACCCCAGCTTGGCTTTTTGGACTTTGCACTGGCTCCTGCCTTGGCTTGTCCTGGACTCCCTTTGACTGGCACCCCAGCCCGTGACAGTGAGCTGGAGGCCAAAAAACTGTGAGCTAGCTCACGCTAACTCAGCTTAGAGGGAACACCGCTGAGGAGTAGTTATAGTAGCGTACATTTTGAATTTAAAGGCAAGATATATAAATGTTCTAAACAAAATTGCAGAAATGGGGTAGGATCACTGCTCTGTAATACAGCATCTGTTTACATGGAGAAATCCTTGGGTATCTCCAGTTAAAAGGATTGGATAGGTGGTGATGGAAGCCCCTCCCCTGAGACCCTGGAGAGCCAATTTTGGTCACAGTATTCATAAGAACATAAGAGACGCCGATGTTGGATCAGGCCAAAGGCCCATCCAGTCCAACACTCTGTCACACAGTGGCCAGAACTACCAGGTGCCATCAGGAGGTCCACCAGCACCAAGAAGACAGAGCATCACTTGCCCCAGAGCCCCTATCTATACCTTGTGGCTAATAGCCATTGATGGACCTCTGCTCCATATGCTTATCTAACTCCCTTTTGAAGCCGTCCACGCTTGTATTCAGTGCTGACCTTGGTAGACCAGCGTTCTGATACTGCATAGGGCAACTTCATGCATGTCTTTAAATAAACTATTGGGGGGCATTTTATAGTGGGGCACAGATGTTCAGCATGCACTCCCTTACAACATTTTATTTATTCAAAGGACTTTTATCCTTCCTTTCTATCACAAGTGAGCTGGGGGCGGCCAGCCCCAGAAAGTTACTGGCTGGTTTCACACGGGCCATGGAGCCGTTTAGTCTGAAAAGCCCCGAAGAATTCCAAAGGCAAGAGGCAGAAAACAAATAATGTTGGGCTTACATCTCCTCAGCACTTCACTTAGATTGTCATGCATGACTTCTTCACACTTCGGCAGAGTTTGATCATTCGCTTCAAAAACTGTGTTCTTTAGGTTTTCAAGAACCCGCACTTCCCGGAAGCCGCGTTTTTCCTATTGAAAAAGTTAAAGAGAGAAAGTCT